TTAGTGCTGAATAGTGGCATAACGTATATATATGTATATGTATACACTAGACTGATTAAAAAAAAAAACGATTTTTCGAAATTTGTGTGCGATGCATCAACATCTTTGAAAGCATCAAGAAACAACATGATGCTGAAAATTTGAGAGACATCGGTGGTCGTTTAGGGATTGCTCAACGCGATTTTCAATTATTACCAAGTCGCGCACCTGAAATACATCTTCGTCAAAAATGTCGTCTATTTACCACAAATATTGAGCTAAATGTCTGAAATTTCGCACATACTATTGTTAAAGACCATGAAATCGACTAATGTAAAATTTTGCTATAAAAAATTGTTCATGCTAATAAATAACACTAAGTAACAAAAAAAAAAAATTTCTCAGTCCTTGGGATGTAATTGTTATTTCCTAGTCTGTTATGCCTTAAAAGTATGGAAACCACCTAATATTCCTCGGAAACTTTGCTTTTGTGACCAGGACAATGTGATTCATTAAAATATGCTAAAATTATGAGAAAAACGTGTTTGAGTCTTTCACTACAGAGAAAATCATACAGAACAGCACATATAAATCAAAACTAAATTTTATTAAAACTTCAGAAAACCAAAAACATAAAAGTAAATCAGAAGCGGGTGGTTTTTCGACATTTGCGTTTAAACTGCGAGTCACTTTCTCTAATCAATCCCCAAATGTAATCTCCCATCATGTTCTCATTGTATTGTCCTTGGTATCGCCGCTCAAATTCCATTATATCCTGATGGAAGCGCTCGCCTTGCTCCTCTGAATATGCTCCCATGTTCTCCTTGAATTTGTCAAGATGTGCATCCAGAATATGGAGTTTGAGAGACATCCTGCAGCCCATTTTGCCGTAGTTCTCCACCAGACTTTCGACCAGCTCCACGTAGTTTGCGGCTTTGTGATTGCCTAGGAATCCCTGTACCACTGACATAAAACTCATCCAAGCAGCTTTCTCAACACGAGTGAGCTTCTTGGGGAATTCCTCAGACTCGAAGATTTTCTTTATTTGTGGTCCAACGAAGATACCGGCTGTAACTTTCGCCTCAGAGAGCTTAGGGAACAAGTCTTGTAGGTACTTGAACGCTGAAGAATTTTTGTCGAGAGCTTTGACGAATTGCTTTATAAGACCCAGTTTGATGTGGAGTGGTGGCATCAGTACCTTCTGGGGGTCCACCAAGGGCTCCCACTTGACGTTGTTCCTCCCCACTGTGAATTCAGTTCGTTGTGGCCATTCACGCTTACTGTAGTGTGCACTGTCGTTTCTGCTGTCCCACAGGCATAGAAAGCAAGGAAACTTGGTGTAACCCTGCCATGGTCACAAAAGCAAAGTTATCTTGCGACAATAGCTGTTTTCTATACTTTTGGGACCTAACTGACTAGGAAATAACAATTACAACCCAGGGACAAAAACCTTGTTACATAGTGTAATTAATGGCTAACTAGCTAAAATTAGTTAGTCGATAACTATGATCCCAATAACTTTTTGAGCTGAAAATTTAGAAGAATCTATAGCACACCTTCAGAAAGTATAATACAACAACAAAAGCATCCGCACTCATAATTTGTTAGAGTTAAACAACTTATTTACCTTCTGGGGTTAGTTGGGTTAAAATCTGTTCCACATTTGCTTAGATTCTTACGCATGGTGGAATTTATTTTAATCCAGCTCGAAAAGCGGTATAATGCTTTATGTTATGTAATCGAAATAAACGTTAATGTATCGACTTTATATCAATTATATAATTTTTTATTGCAATATACGCTATAACCCATAAAAAGTTATACAATGAAGGTTTAAAAACATACATAAACAATTTTTAATTTGAAAGAAAAAGTGAAATGGTAACAGCAATTACCAATTCCAACGGAATGTCAGAGAATGGGCAAATAATGATTATTATGTATAAGCAACTGCAGATACTTGTAGCAAAAAGTATTCCCATATCTTCATAACTGTACCTTTTCTAACATCTTTGAACTTTTTTCTGTGCTCGCTAACTGTTAAAAACAAAGAATGTATTACTTGAAAGAGGGTTTTCGAATTTTCTTCAAATGCATCCTTTTTTTTTCTTCGGTCACCGTTTTTCTGGACCTATTTTTCTTCAACAAACACCAATTCTTCCAAAGTTTGAGAATATTTTTTATTAAGTAATTTTTTGGTGTGGTAGCGATGCCCAATTTGGTATAAATATACAAGAATAATTTTATGGGCAGTGTTAGCCGCACTCTCTTTAATGTTTTGCTTTTTGGTGTTACGGTAATCCAAACAAAGCGAGGACTTGACTTTAGGAGGGTAATTTACTCCTTGGAATAGATCCACTTTCCTTTCCGACCAGCCGCATCTTCTGCAATAAGTATCACGTACAAAAAATTTCTTTTGATCGCTTTTATCGTTTTGAACTAACTCCTGTTGTGCTCTTTATACCCGAGCGCACTTGTGCACAAGGGTATTATAACTTTGTTCACATAACGGTTGTTTGTAACAGGCAAAACGAATCGAGATAGATATAGACAAATGTATACATAAATGATCAGAATGAAAAGAGAAATCG